TTAAAATATGGGACCATTTTTCGAGTCGTAGAATTGAGCGTTACATATCCATATTAAAGATAGGCAAAAGTAGAAAAATGTGCGTGTAATGCGTGATTTCCACTAGGCATTAAATAGCAAAAATTACAAAGTCGGGCATTAAAAGATAATCATGTCATTACATTAAAAACTCAGTCATTAAGCTCATTTCTACATGCCATTTTTTTTAAATGGCAAACGTTTTTTATCATTTCAATGCCTTTCCGCATAACAGCCAATGTGACGAAAGCATTTTAAGGGAAAATTTGTTTAAATTTTTTTAATCTTAAATGAAAATTGACAGAAAATTAAAAATAATTTTCCATATAAATTTCTGGTGAAACAGTCTATATGTAAGAAATTTTAACCGACTTCACAATAAGGAAAAATGTTATCAATTTAATTAATTTCTTAGAAACTATTAGGGCTATCGAAAAGTGAGGTATATACATATGTACGGTTTATGAATAATTTCATTTTCTTTTATGTGCCGTATCTCGTATTTCGATAATTCAATGTGTTCGTAAGATATACGTGATTAAGTGGAACCACTCTTTTTTTTAAGCTAAATAACGGTAAATTGCAAATATCTCGAAAACGTATCGATAAAGAAAAAAATTAACTTTATTTTCGGCATCAGCGAGCTATTCTACATACAAATTGGATAGTGGCGCCTGAAGAACAAAAACAAACTTAAAAATTTGTGATCCAGTGTGATTTTTTCTCTTTCCGATTTTTTGCAGAATTTTCTAAGAGAAAATATACTGCAAACTTCGATTATTTCCGAAATTTTGCTTTAGGAAGCGTACTGAAATTTATGATTTTCTATGAAGATTCGTAAAGAAAACGTTACACAATCGGAAACAAAATTCCAATACTCTTAAAAATTTCGTTAAGATTTCGGGAAATTTGGTTTGCAGAGTTATACAAAATTATGCTATGATCGAAAAAATATCATAAAATAACAATTAAAAATTAACGAAAAAATTGAAATGCAAGAATAAAGAATCGTCGAAACCGATTATTTTAAATCGAAAAAATAGAAATTATAAAAGAATCGTAAAATTATTAATATAAAAAAAAATCGATTTCGCAATGATTTTAAAATAAAAATTCTTCATAATAACGATTTTTTCCGTCCCTGGTAATTTTCAAATTTCTAAATTTTCGGATTTCAGTTTCCTTAACAATGGTAAAATCACCCTAATGATTAGAAGAATTGAGAATATTTACACCTATACATAACTGCCCAGAATGAAAAAAGAAATCGATTTAGCCGTAACTGCCTGTCCGTCTGTGCACACGATGACTAGAGTAAAAATTTAGATATCTTAACGAAACTTGGCATGCTTACTTCTTTAAAGCGTAGGACGGACGGTGTTGAAAATGGGCAAAATCCGACAATAACCACGCCCACATCCCATATAACGGTAATTTGGAGAAATACGAATTCTTTGATAAATCCGTAACTATTGAAGCNTGAGAATATTTACACCTATACATAACTGCCCAGAATGAAAAAAGAAATCGATTTAGCCGTAACTGCCTGTCCGTCTGTGCACACGATGACTAGAGTAAAAATTTAGATATCTTAACGAAACTTGGCATGCTTACTTCTTTAAAGCGTAGGACGGACGGTGTTGAAAATGGGCAAAATCCGACAATAACCACGCCCACATCCCATATAACGGTAATTTGGAGAAATACGAATTCTTTGATAAATCCGTAACTATTGAAGCGAATTTTTTCAAAGTTGATGTTTGCAATAAAACTTTAGCAAGAAATATGTTTATAATAAATTTTTGGAAGATGGGCGTGGCTCCGTCCACTTATGACTTTTTATGTGTATCTCGGTAAACATTCGATAAATTTTTACCAAACTCGGTATAATTTTTACGCTTGCCATATAAAAGCAAAACGTTGAAAATTATTGAAATCGGACTGAAATTACGCCCACTTTTCATATAAGGTAAGGATGCTAATTTACCCAAAATTGAGAAAGAAACTTGTGAGATTTGGTCATATACAGCGGAAGCTTGGAAGATGGAGTGATTTGAAGAGGTGGCTCCTGAAGTTTTCGGGAGAAAGATTCTTCGGATGATTTTCGGTTCTTTTCGGATTGCTTATATCAAGCTTTACAATGACTAAGACATACTTAGGCAGTGGACTAAAATGCAGCGGCTCGCTAACTCCGCCGTGTCGTACGAATTGATGCAAATGCTTCAGCCCTGAAAGTGTTCAATACGGTACCCGCTGGTGTAGACAGAGGAAGAGCAAGGTCTTCTCTGCGATGGAAAGTTCAGTTGCCACGAAAGAGGAAAGACTGCTATGAATACTTTATTCCAGTTTTATTATACGACAATTGATTAATGAAGGATAACAGCAAACTTTGCCAAGCCGAATGTTAATCGTTAGTTATTTCAAGACGAAATTCATATTACATATGACATAAAGTTTTAGTTATCACCCAAATTGTTTGGATGTAAAATTTTGCTGAGCATATTTCTTCAACTGTGCCCCAGCACATTTTCTAGAGCTTTGCAAAGATTTGTGTACATACATACATATGTTCGTAGGTATTCTGTGTGTATTATGCTTAGCGGAACATGAAACTTCAATATCATTAATAAAAATCATTTTAGCAAATGAGGTTAACGACCTGTTCTGAATACAAATCAAAATTTCAAATGAGAATTGGTACAAAAAATAAAGCAACAACAAAAATAAGATATTACTTCAACCAGAACGGAGTAAGCAATGTGAAAAGCAATTGCTGGCGCAAACGCTAAAAAACAAACAAACATTACATTACTTACATACCTGCAATTCGCATTGCATAAAACTAGGAAGTCAGTCACTGCCAAGTCGACTCGACAATTCGCGCGATTTTATGATTTCACTTGACGTGCCTTCACAATGCAGATTGGAGTAGTTTAGCATAAATAGCGGCGCGCAAACGTACAAATTACCCAAATATGAAAATCGGCAGCAGTCAGCAGTCAGCAGCCAGTATGGCGAGCAACGAACTTTTGCAAACATCGCGTGACTATAATTTGGTTGCTTCTTCTTCGTCCTAAGTAATAATTCCTGTTGGTAATGAAGTTGAAGTTGAGGAACGACGTACAAAAGTCAAATCATTTGCGAACTCTACGAAAAGCTGTACATTTTTTGTGTAGAGGTAGGCAAAGGGATTCTTTGTTATCCTTATTTAGTTGCAACTATAACAACAACCCACAAACGTTGCTAATTTTGGAATTTCGTTTTGAGTAAAATATACAAAAAAGGGTTGATAGAGTTGATACAAAAAAGTGGAGGGTGGAAATCTACGCCAAAAATATTTAAATACTCGTAGCATAGTTCAGTGCGCGCATAACGAACGACAGTGCCGCGCCTGAAAACAGACAATAACAGTCTGCTGGCATTTGTTTTCTAGAACACACATTTTTACACACCCACGCGTACAGACATTGGAGTGTGGGAGCGTCTGGCAGAGCTGCTTGTAGCAAAACAAAACCAAAAAAAGAAAACAATAAATGTTAAAGACTTTCTGGGTTCTTGTGGGTTTGTGCAAATGTTTTTCGCTAAAGCAAAATAATAATAAAATGCAAGTAGCAACAAAGTGTGTATTACTGACCTAGTTCAGCTATTCGACGAGTACATAGTGCACACACTAAACTATTTGTTTATTTACTTTTATGTTTCGCAACTCTCTATTTCGCTTTCTTATCGTCGCAGTACTACGAACTCTTTGTGAAGCATTATCCTTGGGGTCGTCCTGGCGGCGGTGCGCCTAATTTGGATATCAGACGCAAAGACATCACAGCAGTTGGCCTGCATTCCACGCCCACAATTGTAAATAAGTCTATCTGTATTAAGTAATAATTTTCCATTCGACGAGTATTTAATTCTTCCTGCTCGCGCCTTTACAGAGCACAATGCATCGGCTGAATTCGTGGCAACCCTGTCGCTATAATGACTACTTCTCGCAGCGTAAAAAGTGTCACGATCCTGCCACATGCTACCACCATCACTTGCATCATCACATACCACCCCTGCCGCCTCCGCCGCCGCCGCACGTCACCACCCACACGCATACCGTACAAACCACTACAGAGGCCTGCCATCCGGGCAGTGTGCTGGCCCTTTGTGAACGTAGCGCTGGCGGCGATGTTGGCGTTGGCGCAAAACTAGGTGCCACCAACACCAATGCGGCGGCCAGCAGCAGCGGTGGCATTGGTGTTGGTCTGGGCGCCACGAAAAATGGTGAGACTCTGCATATAACGCTCAAAGATCACCCATCAATGTCGTTTCGCAATAAAGGACATCTCGACATTGAGGTGCGCTACAAGCCCGGTGCTGCTGCTGCAGGTGGTAAGGGGAAGCCGTTGCTGGAAAAGATTGTGGTGTCGGACAGTGACAAGTGCCCGCTGGCGCAAGGCATACACGCACAACCGGCATTGAGGGGTTCGCCACGCAAGAAGAAGCTCATTGCCAAGCTGGAAAAGCCGGTGAGCTGCAGATACTAAACCAACAAGGCAATGATATTATTTGTTCCATTTCGGTTTTTACTCTCTCATTTCAGCCAAGTAAGGATCCCTGGGGTAAGGCGGGTCCTGGTGGCAAACCGTGGCGCAGTCCGAAGACAGTCGGCAGTTCGTTCATGAAGTCGCTGGTGAGTTGATATTAGTAGCGTGTAGCTTTAATGAAAAGTTTTTTTTTAGTCTTTAATTGATGTGGGTGTGGTAACTTACTGACATTTTTTTAAGTTGTTACTATTCCTTTCTTATCCTGCACTACTATTGAAAAAGAATTATAAACTAAGTTATTCAAAATGCCGTATTAAATACCAGTAAATCCAATATTTCATATTTTTTTGCCCGAGTTTCTATTCGTTAAAATTCAAATAACTATGTGCGACATGTTATCGCTGTTAGGCGAAAGGAAATCTCTGTTATTGCCGACAATCGTCAAGTGAAAGTTGCCACTGAATTAGTCGCTCCAGAGATTTATTTTGTCTTTGTTCACGTTTTTCGTTCTTCTATAAGCTGGCTGGGCCCTTTACTCCCTGACTTACGAAACCCTGGCCATCGTTGGGAAGTCGGCCAAATTTTATTTTGATCAGGAAAGTGGTTAAAGAAGTAGCCTATCCTAAACAATTTGTTTGCGAAATTTCATTTTCAAACCGGTGACGACCCTTCCCAAAAGCATTTTCGAAACTAAGCTCTCTAAAACTTTTTTTTTTTAATTTGGCCCCTGTACTGTAATATTTGATTGAACTTACAAAGTTTATTTAATTTGACTTTTGTGACAAGTGATAAGTTTCCACAACCTAAAAATTTCTCACAGGGTTGGACCAACAAGGAGATGCTCAAAGATCTTGACCAAGATAATCCCGTCACGCCAGCCGAGAAGCCCACATTCCGCAAAGTGCGTACCAATAAAAAGGTTCAACGCTGTTGTGATCTCTGCATTTGCAGTTGTCCCGGCATCGTGACAAATAAGGGATGTGGCGGCATTGCTATGGCAACACGAAAGAAACCACATCAAAGCTCACCCAGCAAAGGCCAAAGCAATACGACTACAACAAATCCAACTGCACCAGCAACAACAACAGCTGCCGCTTTAAAGCAAAAATACTGCCCGCGCTTTGTACGCCATTGCGGTGCCACCATGGACAACAACAATTCCAATAATACAGAGACCAGTGCCAATGTAGGTGGCGAAGGTGTTGAATTGGTGCCACTGCTGGCACGTCGACGCGCCAATACCCGCCCAGTCAGCCTGTCCAGCACGGATGTGACAAAGCGCACCGCCTCCAAAGATAGGTACGCATGCAACATGATTAATCGTAGCAAATATATGCAGCATTTGCAACAACTACACTGCAACAACATTAGCCATAGCCATAGCCATAGCCATAGCCATAGCAATAACATCAATATCAACAACATGAACAACAACAATAGCAACAGCATTAGCAAATGCAAGAATAAACGCATCATCGCTAACAAAATTTGCAATTTTAGCAATGCAATCATCGGCAACTGTCACAACAGCAACCAAAACAACAGCAATAACAGCAATGAGAATAGTAGCAGCGGCACTTCATGTTGCTTAAAGAAATTCACTTTACATATTCGCTAAGCTTTATTTCAATTGGGTAATTGAGGTAAAAAGGGAAAGGTCGGGAACAGATCGCTACAGTAATCCCATTAGTTGTTAGTTTTAGGTTGTAATCCTATCTTCGCAACAAGGTATATTCTGAAGGTAGATAATTTTTTGAAAGCATCTGAGTTGAATTCAAGTAAGGAATCAAAAAAGGTCCTACATAATTTTTTCGAATGAAACATGCATCAAGCCGATAGCAGCCGAATACAGTAAATAAATTTCTTACCTCAATGTAAGGCCAATATAATTAACAAACGACACAGCAATGCTAAAAAAACAGCGCTAATTTTTCTTTGACTATCAAAGTGGAACTCTCTGTTCGGAAGATAGTTCATGTTGTTAGCGAGCTGGCTTTCTTGATAGGTAAATTTTGAGTCCAAAAGTGCCCAAGGAAAAAACTCGAAAAGTTCCTGAGAACTACCTCAGTGTCCTGAACAATCCCTAGAAGCTCCCACATAACCATGGCATGGAAGATCCCGATAAAATAAAATCCCTAAAAATCCCAAAAAAGTCTAGAGGGAGCAATAAATTTCCAAACCCCAAAAGGTCAACACAAAAGTCCAAAAAGTGATATAATACCAATACGTCTCGAAATAGCCCTAACAGATCCTGACAAAGCAAACACGAGGGAAAAAAAGCCCGATAAAGTCGGAAAAAATTAAAAGGCCACCAAAATGTCCATTGATAATTCCGTAAGATACCGAAGGATAAAACACGAAGAACCTCGAAAACTTAAAAAAGGATATTCATAAAAAAAAAACAACAAGATTTGAAGTTGTTCAAAAAAAGAAAATTCCGAAAAACTTCGAAAATCACCCTAAAAGGTGCGGTAGTATTTCAAAACCCCAAAACGTCATCAAAAAAGACCCAAAAGTGAAATAATGCCAATATGTTCCGAAAAGTCACTAAATAACCCTAACAGATCCCGAATAACCAAACATTAAAAAAAAGCTTTATTGTGCCTTGAGCCTAATAAAATTAGAAAAATTTAAAATGGTTCCAAAATGTCCATTAAGAATTCCGTAATATACTGAAAGATTAAACACGAATAATCACGGATTGTGGAAAAAAGATAATTCCAAAAAAGGATTTGAAATTGTCGACAAAATCGATAATGATCCCGAAACATTCTCTAAGAAAATTCCGAAAAGTCTCGAAAATCACCGTAATAGGTCCGTAAATATGTCGAAAAGTCCTCAGAAAATCCCGAAAACCCTATAAATGTCCTGACACAATTTTTGCAGAATGCAAAAAATAAGACACCAATCACGAAAAAATCCTTGAGAGTACTGAAAAAATTTCGCAAAAATCTCAAACAGTCTTTAATATCTAAAGAGTGAAAAACAACAAATAAGCGGCATACAAATTTAAAAGTGGCGTGTTAAATTGTAAAATGCACTGACCGATTTTTTTTGAGAATAGAAATCGCTGCACCTTTTAGGCGCATCAATATTACATAGTTACACCCCGAGCCAATAAAAGCGACGTCAAAAAAACGTCAATTTAGGTTTCGTTTATTTGCATAATCCCCTTAAGTGCTTTCCGCTGGAGTTTTTAAACTCATATTTTGAATCTCTATATAATACCGAATTAAGTGGGGGACTATATATACAAATTTTACAAATATGTATCAGGACGCCTGCTCCACCTACCGGGTACGAGTAGCTCTAGGGTTATACCTATCCAGCTGAGCCTAAAAAATTAAAAAAAATTTCTCAAAACATTCGAAAGGAAAGAACTCGAAAGACATCCTTATTGAGACATAATATTTATATAAAAATAAATATATCCAATTTTTAATTTTCACTTAGAAAAACAGCAGCTTCTTTGGCGCGATTAGCCTCTGGATGCCTTTATATTACGAAATTTTTATAAGGAAATCCATTATAATAACAAACAACAAGTTTTACGATAAAATGCTTAGCTTAAAATAATAATCACTATCTCATGCCATTTTATCAACCAGCCCATTTATAGATACTTCATACATAAAACTCACTAGCGAAACTAGAATGCACTCACCTAAACTTTCAACATACTTTTTTTTTTTTAAATATAAAGTCTAGCGTCGCTTATTGATTTTTTTCGTTCATTTATTTTTTCGTAATTTTGCAACAAAAACAGAACGATTTCAATTGTAATAAATGTAAAAATTTAAGATAATCGAAATATGAAAAATAGCAAAATAATTAGGAATGTAAAACTAAACAGAAATTTTAAACAAAATTAATTGCAAAAAAACAAAGCAGAAACCAAAATTTAGTAACAGCAAAAACACTGATGTCAATCCCGTCTTCTCTGTACTCGCCTTCTGCCGCAACACTAAAACAACACAAACAACTGCAATTGCAATGAATTCAATCGCATTGCAACGAATCCAATGTACTCTACGATCTTCGTTGGTGATGGATGGTGCACTTCTGCTTGTGGCCCACCACCACTCACGCATGCCGCTACAGACTTGCCACAGCGCAAGACATGCGCTATCTGCACGACTTGAACACACAAATGTCCGAGAAGCGACAAACGGTGTGCGCCGAACAGCAAATGGAGCGCGAACTTTGCAGCAAACACTTCGAAACGTTCGACACCTTTTGGGGTCGGCCGGGACATGGGGCGCCCGGCGAAGTGACGGCAAAACAGAAGTTGAACAATTTGCTTTATGGCGCCAGCAGCGAGTGCTGGGACTGAGGTGTCTCTCGCGGACGGAATAATGTAAAGCAAACAAATCTAGTGCAATGACCGCTTTCGTAGTGATGTAAAAAAAAAAAAAAGAATAGTGCAAAAGCAAAAAACCAAAAGATACTTAAGTACTCGCAAAAAAAAGAAAATATTTGTTAGTTTGAGAGACTTGGTTTCTTAAGTAAAAGTTAAGTAATTTCGATAAGATTTATCATCATTTATTTGAATTGTTTTTACAAAACGAAAGCGAAGAGGTGTGTTGAGTGCGAAATTTTGTCAATTTGCCAGGTTGCAAGTTGCACAAAGTTTAAACGAAAATGATTGATCGAGATGGTGAGAAAAGGAATTTTGTAATACGAGTTTTTGTTTTGTGTAAAATTTGTGCGTTGAAAAAAAGCTACATTTACACTACTAGAAACTTGTAAAATTTTGGGAAACAACAGAATGGTAATTGAGTGGCAAAGAATGCATTGATGCTTTGATAGATTTTAGTTGAGGCTGTCAATTAGATTCACGGACATTTTTTTAGACATATACGATGGACGGTAAATATGAAATATGTATGTATGTGGAAATCTTTATCCGAATCTCATTCCGATTGTTTAAATTTTAGCTCTCTTATTAACACTATGTTCACACCTTAAAAGTAAAAAAGAATACCACGGTAATGATAACGACAAAGTATAAATGAACCATTAACAATAGCAAAGAATATAAGCATAAAGCTGAAAATAAAAATAAAGGGAAAAAATTAGCATAATGATAAAAATAAATATAAGGCAAAAGTAGGATTGAAAAGATAACGACATAGATAAAGATAAAGCTGCAGTTAAAGGTGAAGACAAATATTTTGGTATGGAAGAAGGTCATGTAAACATAAACATAGTCAATGACAGTGACAGTTACTGTGGCAGTGGAAATGATAATGACAGTAGCATTGGCAATGGCGATGACAATGACAATGGCGATGACAACGAAAATAACAATTACAATGACGATGATTCACAACAATGACAATGGCAATGACAATGAAAATTAAAATCAATTAATTAATGGGCCTTATGAATAAAAACAAGCATATCAAATTCAAACATATTAAATGCAATAGACTTTAGAAATTGTATTAAAATAAAATTAGGTGTTTATTTGCGATCGGGTATACTATTTTAACTCTTTTGCGTTCTATAATTTGCCAATTTTTTTTTATTTGTTAAACATTACTCATACATTTTGGAAAAAGTGATAAAAAACTAAACAGAAAACAGTATTTTAAATCTTTCAAGATAGAGCATTCAGAACAAATTGTCTAGTTGAGTAGAATTTTTTAACGTGAAACGCAGTGAAATTTTTAAAAAGCTTTAAACGCCTATTTTATCTGTTCTTGCGTCAAGAAAAGCTTTTCTTTGGGCGCTAGAACCGAAAAATGTTTTTTTAATTCATGTTGTTTATCGGTAAAAAAATTCGAAAATTTTAATTTTTTTTTAATTTGATAAGACTTTTAAAATTTATTTATTTTGGTGTCTCTTCTTATTTTTGAGATATTTGACATATGAGTGATCTGTGCCATACTACGCCTACGTCTCTACGTATGATTGGCCTCCATATATGTACATATGGGCAATTCCAACAATTTTAGAATTTCTTTTATGAATTAATTTTTTTTTTTACACATGGCAACATTACTGTAATTTTTAGTACACTTTCCTTCAGTTGTTAGAATACAAAATCCAACGTCAACGTTTTTTTTTTTTCATGCTGTTTTCTTTTTCGTGATTTTCTAATTATTTCGCCCCTCGGCAGGCTCTGCCATTAAAAACAGCTTCACATAAAAATACAATCGCGGTTCGGAGTAGGCGTAAAACTTTACGTCCCTCCGCTTTGTGTAACAACTCAAGACGCACGCCACAAATCGGAGGAGAAACTCGGCCAAACACTAACATATTGTGTAAGCGCCAATCTATTATTATTTTTAATAATAAATAAATAAACCAATGAAGGCAGGTTACAAAAAAAAAATATTTATTTCTTTTAGAAAGTTGTATAAGTTTTGTTTTTTGTTTTATTTTCATAATCCGTTTTATAACAACGCGCGACCAAAACCAAACGATTTCAAAAAGAGATTTTTAGACCTTTTCGAAAAAATAAAACCTTATTGGACATTTTCAGCCTCAGCTGCCTGCTGATTTTCGAAAATCGGGCGAAGGGTTCGTATAATGTACATAGGTTGTATTTTTGTCACTTTTTTTGGTGTGAAATATTTTAAGAACGAATAAGAAAGGGGGCGCGAGTGAATATGAATTCGCATTTTTGTGCACACATCGTAATATTTTAAATAAGTGGCTTTCTTATGTAATTCCGCCACACCTACATAGATCGATTTCTTTTATACCCCAGAGCACTTTTAAAGTTGTCCAGTATCAGAGTTTCAAAAAATTAGTCGCGGCCCTCCGACTCTTCATAGGCTCCTTTCGATTGTAAGCACATAATTCTAACGGTTTGCATTCGATTCTGCTCTCTACTAATGCATTACCAATTTCAACGTGGATAATCAACGCACTAAATTTTTCAAATTAAAAAAAAACAAGTAATTTTTATGAAAAAAAATAAAACCGACTTCAATTCTCGTATAACAATGATCGGATCTGAAAAAATAGTATGGGACCACCTCTTGCCTTAAAAAAAAAATAGAGAAAAAAAAAGAAATATATTCAAAAAAAAAAAAAACGCAACAAATATCCTCGCTGAAATTCAAAAAATTCCAAATTCACTTTTTGATTGATATGATGGATTTCATGGAACTACAAGTCCCCACATCGTTTTATGTTTGTTACGTTTTTTGCATTTCAGATGGCGATAAGTACTGTTTTTTATTTTCATAGAATTTCAGATTTATTTTATTTTTTACATACCTCTGAAATATATCATTTAAAACGAAAAACTTGCAAAACACTGGAGAGATTTTAAAAAATTTTAAATGAATTTTGACGAATTAGTAAACATTTTGAGACTTTCGTCGTTATCGAGCTTAATTCCAATTTTACCATTTGGATAAAAAACAAGCTTTGTAGTAGTGTAAATGTAGCCTTAACTGGGTTTTTGTATTTGATAAAATTGCAATTTTATTCTTAAAACATGTAATTTATTCTGAAAAAAAGTTGTAGATGTTCGCAATTTCAAAGCTGGCTTTCGCGTTATTATGTAAGTCAAACGGTTGAAATTTAAAAAAATTTAAAACCTTAGCTAAAAAATATGATTCTGTAGTTTATTGTACAAAGACACAAGAATATTTCAGTTAAAAATTAATATACGTACATATTGGCCTACGAGAATTGTAAATACAAATTTAAAAATTATTACCCAATAAATATAAATTGTTAAAATATGGCATTTTTATTACAGTAGGGTCAACAAGCGATTGATAAGTTTAGATCAACGTTTTTCCCAATTAAAATGGAGAAAAAGGTAAATTGAGCGAAGTTAAAAAGGACGAGAAAACTAAAGCAAGTTTTCAGAAATAAAAAATTCCCCGACCTGAAAAATATTTACATGAATTCTATGTAAAAATGTTTGCTGAATGACAGTTATTGAGAAAAAATTTAAAAGATAACAGATTTTTTATAAATTTTTTCATTTGAATTAAAACTTTTCTTTTACGAAAAAATCAAGCTACCAACGAAGAAAATCGGTGGAAAAATAAACGAGTTGTGAATGGTCAAATGAAAACGCGTAATGATTTTTTGATAAAATATTATCAGCAAGCGGGCTTTTAGAGTCACTGTACTTGTCTATAAGAACTCTAATTGAAGTTTTTTCAAATGATGAAGTTTCGTTGTTACCTTAAGTTTCATCATTTTCGCTTTTGGTTAAAGGAAACTGATCTCAAGTACCATATCATTAATTAGATAAAAAGTTCCTAGTAAAAATTTCACTTTTTTTTTTGAAATGACTCAGAAACTTAACAAATCTATAGTTTTTAATAAAATAACTCAAAAAAGTTATTGGTAGATATTTTTCAGATTTGGTCGATTTTTTTCAAGTGGATGGTAAGTATCTTTTCTCGTCTCTTTTCTCGTCAGTAGCAACCCTGTTAAAGGCGTCTCGGCGTCAGTGTGTCATTTTAATGATCCTAGAGTCTTAACTCTTCGTCTGTTATGCTACAGACTCTGTGCTTAGTAACGGGTTAACACGCCGTATGTGTATTTGTGTGTGTACAAAACTGTTATACATCCTTTGCTTGTGTTTTCACCACCCCTAAAAGTAATTTCACAGCCACTGTATTAATATAATTTCACTGGAATGTGCAACATTGACTGGAAATCATAAGCACTTGTGGAAGGTAAGTTGTATACATGCATGTGTGGAAGGTGTTTTACTTTCGGCAATTCATTTATGTATATTCCATGTCTTAGCTTTTCCAATGTTGGCATTGCAGATGGTTAAATATGTACCGTCAGTGGCAATGGTATGGCGATTGCGGAAGGCGGAAGACGGTTAAAATAAAAACGAGTGGATTTCTTGTGTATGAGTACGTATGTATGTATGGTTTGACTGCGTGCTTTATCGCACATATTTGGATGCTTAACGCGAGTTAAGTGAATGTAATTAAAAACATACTTTAAAATATTGAATGGGGCAAAATTCTCTGGAAAAATTTTAAGCATGTTTTTCCAACTTTATAATTTTCTTCTGAACATTTGAACCAACGCGATATTTTGGTAAACAAAAAAATGTAAGATGGAAAGTGGAAAACAGAAGATAAATTTTACCTTTTAAAATTGATACAGGTTTGAAGGTTCTCCATTTAAAGTTTAAAAATATTTTTTTATTTTAATTATGTTTACTCGAGTTCACATTTTGCAAACAGGGCTACGTTTCTGAAAGTTGTAAGTTATTATCATAACCATACATACATATTAGCTTAAATAGCGCAGAAAAAAGGTATTTTGAGATAGTTTATCAGTCGATTATTACTCTTCAATTTGTTCTGATCTTTATCAACTTATCAACTG